GTTCAACTATGAAACCGCCATGTGGATGATTTTGTTGTTATTACAACTGATGTAACAGGCAAGCCGAACTAAAGATAAAATTGCTTTTAAAAGATCAGAGCCTCACCGTTTGTTGTTGTCCTTGGTGTTGATTCTTTTTCGGTTGTTGATACTTTGGTGGCTGTGGATGATTTTGTTGTTATTACAACTGATGTAACAGGCAAGCCGAACTAACGATAAACTTGTTTTTAAAAGATCAGCGCCTCACCGTTTGTTGTTGTCCTTGGTGTTGATACTTTTCCAGCTGTTGATACTTTTGCGGCTGTCGATGATTTCGTTGGTACTACAACTGGTGTTGTAGTTTGCGATGGTGGTGGCGATGTTGACGATGTAGCTGAAATGCGATTTAAGATGGATCTCAAGGTCAGGTGGATACTGAAAGTATCTTCATGAGGCCAAGTAAGTAGTCACCAAAGAGAAATATTCTAACTCTACTTATGGTATTTATCGTGTTAACATAGTAAAAAATGGCTTTATTTAACTGAAAAAAAAGGAGTACTGTGATGGGGACGGCATCCCCCTCCACTTCATGCTTTGAATTGTTAGGAGGTTCAAACCCTCTTAACTTTTACCGTACTGACTCAATCTGAAAGTCTGAAGTCCTCATGGAGAACTGATTTTTTCCTTTATCCCACGCTTGATGGAAGAGGTTATAATGGAACTTAATAGCTACCATATTTTATACTCTGTTTAGACGGTCTCATTGCGGTAACCATTATCCGTTAGGCCTAAAAAATTGCCAGATCATAACTGTTAGTCGTATAAAAAGTTAACCGAGGAAATCTTTCCTTGTACAGGGTGTCATTCTGTATCATTTGTAGTTTGCCGTAAGCCATAAAATGGCCAAAGTTTTAACCATCACCCGTTAAAGCCATTACCTTATTTTTGAGACAGTTTATTTTCTCATCGTTCTTCGTTATTTCAAATTAATAGAACTTACCGGCTTTATCATTCGAGAATGACACCATTGTAATTCTGGTCAAACTAGTGGGTAAGCTTACAACCTTCCAAAACAAAATGAGGGAATTTGAATGAATTAATCAATTAATAAAAGAACCAAGCAATGAGGGAGTTAACAAACAACGGACCGAAGGACGAACGAAAAGATGCACAAGAAATTTAATACCGTAAATGAAAAATTAAATGGAATAATGAATACATGCATGCAAGCGTTTCTGCATGTATGTGTGCATAAAAGCATATTGGCATGCACGCGAGAAGGGATAGATGGACCAGTATATTAAACACGTAGGCGCGCTATAAAAGGAGCCTTATGCCCCACTGGACCATTTGTCAATCAACCGTCGGGTGATGTAGAACTCTTAGAGTCAAGTCAGCTTGAGCTACAGCTACTCCAAAGCAGTGAACAGCGGGCGCATTCTTCAAAATTGTTTTATGTCTTCATCACAATACAAGAATATTTTAGATTTGTATTTCCTTTCTCCAATGGAAACTGTCTTTATTTGTGGCGGTAAATTTGAGATCGAAGTAGATGGTTCGTACGTTACCTCATGCCACTATACTGGTGGAAGTAAACAATAGATATCTCATTAGCTCCTTCTATTCGTCTACCAGCATTTAAATTTGACTCGCACACGTCAACGGTGAGTGACAAATGAGCCTCGGTCTTCCCAGGGAAGACTTCCTTATATAGCGCGCCTTCGTGTTTAAAGTTTGATTAGTATTCTGTTCATTAAATATGTGTATATGACGTATCGGTAATTTTTATAATGATGTTGCCAGTTAGATTGAATTTAAAAAAAATTAAAACGTGAGCAGTTGTACAGTGGTTAAGTCATTAGTTACTGAGCTTGTGTGACGGATTGATTGGTACTTAGAAATAACTAAATCCTCAAATGCTAATCAGTATACAGTGTATATTTGATTTCAGTCATGAGACTAAAAGTATGCTTAAGTATTTTCCTAGGTTACTGATAAGAGTATCATAAAGGATACTTATCAAACGAAAATTCACGAAGAAACGAGTAATTCTTCATCATTTATGTAACGCGCGCTTTTTGTTCCTTATTTGAAACGACTTCGTGTCTTGTGATTGAGGGGGTTGAAAACAGAATTTGCTACATTTTTCGAAGTAGTCCTTAGAACATGTGACGCCTGAATGGTCGCATAATCTCTGGAGAGTTTCTTTAAGTCTCAGTACGGTTTCATGCCTGCAATATCGACAACTCCATCGCCATGCTGCAGTTCCCGGACGCGTTGGTTTGCAGTCGCTAACTTGAAATTGCGGTTAATAGACTTGTCCAAGTCTTGGGCTGTATTGTTTATCTGTTAGATGGGTACAAAGGAAAAGCGAAAAATAAAGTTCTGAGCTTTAGGTCTTCGATGAGGATTCTGAACGCAGTTTACTTTAATTTCGTAGTCAAATACTTATTTAACTGCGCTACAGAGAACTCTCAGCGATGGCACTAAATAGCTAGTGTCTTTTATAACCTACAATCACCAATTCCATTGTAGCAATAAGAATGTTAGCAGCGTTCCTTACTTGCGTTCCTTCTTCAATCACAGCCTCTCGTGTTCCTGTTTCTTGAAATGTCATGGTCGCAATGTTGTCAAAAGGATTCCTGACAATGTGTTTAAATTTCAGCGGCACTTGGAGGGTTTGCACTATTTCTTTTAGAAGGCCTTGTCTCGTTGATAAGAACTCTGACGTTTTACCAGCTTGCTTGTTGCCGATGACCTTAACCCAAAATAAGTAAATAAAATTCAGTATGGGTTTTAAAGTTTCAGTTCTATAAAAACATAAAACTTTCTTGGAAAATCTGTTCCTAGCCTTTTTGCGTAGCGTTCTTCCCCCACAGAGGTCCACAATAAGATCACTATATGAGGGAGGAAGCAAGTACGTTCAGTAACGAGGGGAGTCAACGTCTTCGAGAACTAAGAGATAAACCTTAAACTTTCATTCAATGAACTAACCTTTATTTTCTTTTTATATCCACATTGCCATAAACCAGGCACATTGTAAGTGTACCAGGACTTTGGTGTAAGAAGTGTCCTATTGAGCGCAGCGCGTCTACGAATCCAAACAGTGCATCCCTCAAGGAAAACTGGTGAAGGTCGTAGAATAGTGCGTACTTTTGCAAGTTTTCCTTTTTCTTGAACCGCGCTGAGCAGTATTTTTCCCATTTTCTCAGCACACCATGCTCATGTTATATAATTATTTTTGGGTGAGCATCCAGTAAGGCCCCCACTAAACTATGAATGCTACGTGGATAACCAATCAACAAGAGAAACGTTTCAACTCCATCATACAATCTGAAACAATTCTCGCCATAAGAGAGTAAAGGTGACTCTTCTGAAAAACAATCAGGAATAAACTTTCTTGTTTATAAATCTCTTATAAATCTAGTTGACAAAGTTTCTACTTCGTACATGCGACTGACCACAACGCTGGCAAACTGACTCTCTGAAGTTGTGTCTAGGCTCACATATCGGTAATTTTTTTCTGGATGCAGTACGTGTGTGCATATCAGACAAGGTGGGCCAATATCTCAATTGTATTCAAAAAATTTTTTATGATAGGAGTTGGTCAGGTTAATATATAAATATAATAAAAGCTATCGACATGTGCTTTTGAGTGGGGTAGTGTACTACTAGGTTACAAAATGCTTTGAAAAAAATTATCTCTTTAACAATCTGACTACCCCACTTTTCATTACTGATTTCTCATTTGTAAATCAAAGCTGAACTTTGATAGAAATATCAGTTGCCACTGGAAAATAACAAGTGGAATGGGTGGGATAGGTTCAGAATCTCAGTGTCTAGTTTAGAAGTAAAAAAGCATCTTCAGAAGGTCCACTCTACTTGATGCTTTTAAGGTGATAATCTTTTTAGGGGTTTTGGGTTTTAGAGGGTCTAGAAACTCTTCCAATACACACCCACCGAAAAAGTGGGAGCTGCAGTGGCATAATGATTTCACTAGACGTTTCCTCGAGAGGTCTTGGTTCCAGACCTAGCTGGGTCATTCTGTTATGTTCTTAGGAAAAAAATACTTTCACAGTGCCTCTCTTCACCCGAGAGTTTAAATGGGTACCTGCAGATTATTATGGAAGGCTGAACAATACACACGGTCCACCCCATGTAAGTCTTGTATGTTATTTTTGCAACATTTAGATCTCAACTTGTACAGCATCTACTATTGACATGTGATTTCAATTTACAAGAAGAGGATTCTTTACAGATTTAACATCTGTTTACATTCACATGATATTAATTTATTTGTTGGGTTGGATATGACTTATAGACCCTTCTCTGTGAAAAGTCAACAACCAACTGATGTATATAAAATTATTGTGCAGAATAGAATACTAAGTCTAGTTACTGGAAAGATGCAAATGATAAAATTGTAAAAAATTAAAATATATATATAATTGCTCACAGTCTTTAAGATAAGATTCTGTCAAAATGAATCAACATAGATAATTGAAAAATTAAATTCTTGATTAATTTGGAGATTGATGCTCAAAGACATGTATGATGCGTTCAATAATATGCCCACATCATTAATTGATTTGTTTACATGAAACAATAGATTTGCATAGCAATCTTTGCAATTAATCCTGTACTCTTTTCCAAAATCAAAGATCTTAAAATCATACTGATTGAAGATCTTTGATATTTGTAAAACAAATAACAAACGATTTTACACACTTTGTTCAAAGTTTCTTTAAAACCAGCTTTGAAGATTAACACGGTGACCTAAGATTCCACAGGATTTTATAAGTTGTGAAAGATTTGCCAACAAAATTACTTCAAGTTCTTGCACTCCTTGGCACAAATCTTGAAGACTTTCGTTGATTGCCAGATTACTGGAGAACTTTGAAAATAAATCATTCAAAATGATCAAAAATCTACATTACGATTATAATAATTTAAAACTGACAGTTGAAGAATGTCCCAGAAGCTATATATCATGTGCACCTCAACGGAAATGCTGGTACAGTAAACTTATCATGAAGGGTAAAAATTTTGAACCACAGTAATTGTTTTAAAATATCTACAATTGATATAGAAATGTCATAATATTATTTGAAATAAAGCCCACACATCTGAATTAATACATCCACAAATCTTAGTCAAAACTTTTAAGAGGGCACAGCATAATACACAGATT